GCAGCCACAGCTGCTCTGGCAATTCCAGCCCAGCCAGGAATTCCCAATTCCCAATCTCCCATCCATCCCTGCCCTCTGGCACTGGGAGCCATTCCCTGGCTCCTGTCCCTCCATCCCTTGTCCCCAGTCCCTCTCCAGCTCTCCTGGAGCCCCTTTAGTTCCCCTCAGCTCTCCCTGGAGCTGCTCCTCTCCAGGGGAGCACCCCCAGCCAGCCCAGGGTGAGGAGGAGGAGGAGGAGGAGGAAGCCAAGAAGGAGCCTCTCCTCTCTGGGGCCTCACCTGTTCTTGTGCACCCACACCCCCAGCTTGTCCTTGCACGAGGGGGGCACCCCCTGGCACTCCACTCTCACCCACTGCAGCACTCTGTCCGTGGATCTGGCATTCAACATGTAGAACTGGGAAAAGAAAGAGATTTTTTCAAACTCACTTCATCAGCTCAAAGCTTGAGTCCACTGTTAAAAGAGCAACTTTAAATCAACATGTGTTGGTATAAAAATGGTAATAAATGAAAAGTTCTCTTCCTAGCTGAAATGTAGAGCACTGAAAACATTAGCAACAAAAGATGGACTCACAAACCACAAAGTCCTGACCTTTTTCAGGCTCAAACACCTTTTACAGCACTAACAGGGCTCTGGGCACCGAGCTCCAAAAGCTGCTGTGGGATACAGGGGAGGTGAGCACAGAGCACAACTGTCTCACAGCTAAAAGGTGGTTCAGATGTTTACAGTGACATTTTCACAGTCTCACCCCTTCTCTGCATTTATACACTTGTACAGGAAGAGAACCAGCTGCTACCCTTACATACAAGAACTGAAATGAAAGAATGCCACGGCAGGAAGGGTGAAAATCAACCTTACAAATGAGGTTTGTGTCAAACTGTCTGCACAAACTCTTTCCAACTCCTTCTAGTTTATATTTACACAGGAAATTCATTATCTTATATTTAAATAGATAAATTACAGATTTACATAGACCAAAACTATTTAATTTAAGCCACATTGCCGGACTATCAGAAAACATAATTAATTCATTCTGGTTGAAGGGGTGGTGATGGGTCAGTGGTCTTGGAGGACTTTTCCAACCTCAATGATTTTGGGATTCTGGGACTACCACAGACTGCAGGGAACAGAAACACTTCAAGCCACCCCAGATCAGCTCTAGATCAGTTCCTGATATTATTCAGGCAACGCTGGCACCTCCCATCTTTTAAAACGAGCAAACTCAGAGGCAGGGACACAATCCAAGAGCCCAGGGCAATTGCACAAGGACAGGACCGGTGCCAGCTCGGGGTGTTCCTGCAGTGCTGGGGAGCTCCCAGGGCACAACCCCATGGGAAAGGATTCTATTTGATCACATTATTGTTTATTTGATCACATTATTGTTCATGACTCTGTGTCATGCAGTGCTGACCTTGTTGGTGTTGCCCCGGGCGTGGTGCCCCCCGAAGAGGTAAAGCACTCTGTCCACACACACGGCACAGCTGCCCGACATGGAGGGGGGCACGTCTCCCTCCGTCCTGCTCTTCTTCCTGCAAAGGCAGCCTGGCATCGTTCCCTGCTCCCAGCCAGCAGCCATGGCTGGGCCCACCTGCAGGGTGGGATCCCCACAGCTCCCCTGTGGATATCCAAGTCTGTTCTCCCCACCTTTCCAGGTGTAACAGTTCACAAAATGATGGAGGGGTGAGGAAAAGCCAGTTCAGTTAATCCATGGGTTTTCAGAGGGGAGGAATCCCATCTGCCCAGCTCAGGGGGTTGGAATGCTCAGAACCCTCAGGCAGAGAGGATTCACCTGTGTAAGCTGCAGCTTTCCACTTTGCTCCTGCATTTCTCCTGTTTGCAAACACCATCAGCACAGAGACTGCAGCCCGTGCCCCAGGCTGGAGCACACCTGCAATCCCAATTCCTGCACAGCCAGCACTCAGCAGCTCCTTTGGCTGCACCAGCCTGGAAAAACAACTCCTGGCAAGGCCAAGAGCTCAGCAGGGATTCCCTGACCACCCCTGGCAGCAGGAGTGGCACAAACACAAATCCCAGCTGCTCTGTCCTGTGCCAGGAACCCCAAAACTCCTCACACTGGTGGGCACACACTCCCATCCAGGCTGCCTGCCCCAGCTGCCTCTCCTACTTCATCCTGGAAAAACATTTGGGATCCTTTCACAGGAAGAAAAACCCCAAACCTGAAATATTTGACCCACTTTTGCAAGAGTTTGATAGGTGGGAACAAAGAGATCAGGGAATTCTCTCCCTGCTCAGTCCCTTTGCAAGGATTGATCAGATTTTCCCCCAAATGAATGATTTACTGTACCATCTTCCAGTTTCCATGTTGTAGATCCAGATTTCATCCCTAGGCAGGTAGAAGTCATAAAAGCCCCGGACCTGGGCATTCTGCAGAAGGAGAAGCAGGGTTAGAAGGGTTTGGCACAGCAATTCCAGACTCCTGGGAACGCCTGCACCCGCTCTGGGAGCTGATCCCAGCCCAGATCCCAGCAGGAGCAGCGCTGTGCTTCCCACACTCCCGTGCCTCCCACCTGCACAATCAGCCCCATTTAGCACCTGCTGGGGACAATCAGCTCCCAGCAGAGCCAGACAGGCTGCATGAAGTTTAACTTTGGTTTTACAGCCTGAGCCAGGGAGCAGAAATGAGCCAAGAGCTCCCTTTTCCTTCCCCCACCCCTCCCTGACAGGAGTTTATTTACTGAGTTTGCTTTGTCACTGAAATGATTCTGTGGTGCTGCACCCCCCAGTGTGACAGCAACAAACCCGGCATCCTTTCCACTCCAACAAAATTATTACCACCCCAAATGACAAATTACAAAACCTAATTACAAATTACCACCCAAAAATACAGTTGTGCAAATAAATCACCACTCCCAGGGCGCACAGCTCCAATCAGACAACGCTCCCTCCATCACCTTTTGCCAAAGGCAAACGACACCCCAAAAATCCGAGTTACCTGCAAAGCTTTTCACACCTGTGATTTATCCCAGCCTTGCAAAACAGCCCTGAGGGCAAATCTGCTCACTGGAGCTGCTGTGCTCTGGGGGAGGAGTAATTCCCCAGAGTCCTGGATGGATGGATGGATGGATGATGGATGATGGATGGATGGATGATGGATGGATGGATGGATGATGGATGGATGGATGATGGATGATGGATGGATGGATGATGGATGGATGGA